AGTACTTTTACTTTCGTTACTTGTACCGCCGGTACAAGTAAAAAGTACGTACTTTTACTTGTACTTCGTTACTTTTTAAATTTAGTACTTTTACTTGTACTTTCGTTACTTTTTTAGGGAAAAAGTAAAAGTATTTGTAACGGAAATATCGAATGAAATCGTTACTTTTTTTCTAAAACACGGTAAGCTTTCTTAAAAGAAAAAAAAATGTGATTGCAATATATATGCATTCACAGCTTAGTTCGTGTTTAAATACCTTCTGTTTCAACTTATTCTGCACATTCAATTATTTTTTACTAGCTCAAAGATCACAAAGCTATCTGAAACCCCGTTTTTGCTTTGTTTATGTTTGTGTTTTTAAAACGCGTTTCTAAAGAGCAAAACAATTTTAAATCAATGGTAATTTAAATAATAAACTAAAAATTAAAATCAATAGATAAAATTTCTTTTTCGTGCAAATCCATAAAAAGTTTAATATTAAAATTATATTTGATTTTAAAATTATATTATACGATTATATTATAAAATTATATTATAATACTCCTCCGAATTTAAAAATAAATTGATGTCCATAACTTTCAAAATTAAAAATAGTTAAATAAATAACAAGAATTTTGCAATAACATTAAAGAACATAAGAATATTATTCAATAAAATTTTAGGTTACTTTGAGTTTTCGATTTCCTAGAAATGTACTTTTAAATCGTTGATTTTATGTTTAGTACTTGTACTTTTACTTGTACTTTTTACTCGTTATTTTCAAAAATAAGAACTTTTTACCTTTTACTCGTTACTTTTTTCAAAAATACTTGTACTTTTACTCGTTACTTTTTAAAAGTAACGTTGCCATATATGCTCACTTCAGCTATGATAGAAGTCAATTCCAATGACCACCTATCAACAACTGGTGAAAAGTCTTCCCGGGCGTGTGCAAGCTGTCGTCATCGATGCAAAAAGGGGGGGACCAAAATCATATTAATACGTTGCCTCAGCACGCTCAAAGTCCATACCATTGGGTGTCCGGTTACTTATGGCCGGATAGTGTATAAGCATAATCTACGATCATTGGATACGGATATCTAATGATTTATTGCGTCACAATATTATAGATGCTCGTTTTTTTACTGAATATCTTCAACTTGTATAAAAGATTTAAATTAAGATTGGTATAAGGAAATTACCGTATAACAGAAGAGAAGAAATTTGATTAGATTAGAAATAGAAAAATAGATTTCTATCTCACCTCTGAGGGATCGGAAGTCATAAAATCCTGATAATGATTTCGGAAATACTTTCCCAAATTACGATGCTGTTGCTTTCCAAGCTAGAATTAGAAAAGAAAGCTTTTTCCAATAATTTAGATCAACTGAAGCAGGATTGAAATAGTTACCGTACCAGTCGTTAACACGTTGAATGACATGGGGAGGAGTCACCGGTGCCCGGCACTAAGTTTGTTCGTAGTTCCACGGAAGTCACCGGTGACCGGAGAATCCAAGATTATTAAAAACGCATAATTCGAGTTTTTTTCATATTATTATCGTTACTAAAACAGTTTGAAGAAATGAATGCAATATAGAACACACAAAAATAGTTTTATTTATACACACAGAGACGCCAACTTGCTTTGGATAGCAAATAAATATTTTCAAGTGGTAGTTTATTAATGGTGATTCATGGTATAAATTCATTTCAGTAGATTTTTATCCACCACTATTTCTAAACAATTCGTAGGCTTATATTATTTACCTTTTTTTCACATTTATCATGCTAAACCTTTTAAAAAACTAGCAAAATCTGTCTAATATTTGCAAATTTAGTTTGTAGTCAGTTACCGTTGTGTCCAGACGGGTAAGCCATGTAAAATTAGCGTGGCATTCAACGTGTTAACAAAGACGGATTTTTTTCAATCATAGTACTCGTATCATCGATAAGCAATGTGTTAAACCTCACGAAATTTCCTTCAAGAAGTACATCGCGTCAAAGAAAACGGACCACCCTGAATAACTTTTGATCTATTTAACGGATCTTTACCTCCTAGGACTCAATCTTAATGGTTCGAAAAAGTGACCTCAAATATACTAACTAGTTAGTGCAGACGATATTTTAAGTGGCGAAATCGGACAAAAAAAACGTACTTCTTCTGAATAAGCATATTTTTCTTTAACGGATTCGGATTTCTGACCCCCAAAATATAGGGGGTAGCCGCAATCTGGAAAATATGGTCCCCATAGTTTGGTCAGGAGAGAGTTCCAAAGTTTGGACCCCTTAATGTCAATTTTACTTTTTGCGAATTTTGCAAATATTTATTAATTTTTAATGTTTTGTTTAAATAACAGCCGAAAGAATACTGAATTGCAAGGTATATTGCAACGTGAAATTACACACTTTAAAATGACGTTAAGAATTGTATACCTTACAATTCAAAATTTTCTTGACCATTTTTTAATAAATTAATAAAAAATGATTAATATTTAATAAAAATTTCTTATTGCAACGATTTATCTTATTTGGATGGACGAATTTTATAATTGTTTACAAAAATTTTTAAATTGGCTTTAAAAGTTCTCGAGATATGCTAAAATACGCAAAAAGTAAAATTAATATTAAAGGATCCAAACTTTTTATCGAAAAAACTTTTGATACAGAGAAAGCACATTTTTTTTGTACTTCGTAACGTATTCGTTTTTTTTTTTTTGTATTTCGTAAATGTTTTTTTACATCAAAATTATGCACTAGATTTGACTCATTTGACGAAATACGAGATAAGTTTTTGCTTCAGGAAATGAATTTTTGTTTTATTATTGATGCAGTTTTAGCTGAATTAATTTATAAAATTATATACTATTTTGGTACAGTGTTGTACTGCTCTGAAAACACTGAATCACTCTTAAAATTTGCTCTTTAACCTCTTGACGCAGAATTTTTACCAAACATATTTTTCAGACTTTTCCATTTTTTTGTATTAATTTAAGTCAAAATAAATTATAATTATTACATTAATTTAAATTTTATAATTATTATTTATAATTGTTACACTGAACGAATAATTTCAATTTTTAGAATTTTTTACATATTGTAGGATACTTTTATAGTTTATATTTTTACATTACGTCAAGAAACAAAATTCATTACATGAAAGATATTTATTTGCAAAATTGAATAAAATGTAACATCAGTCAAACGTCTTACCTTTCTTACAATTTTTCATTTTAATTGAAAATTTCGAGCAACGAGAGCAAAATTCATTATATTTTAAAATCGACTATAACTTTTGTCAAGTCATAAATAAAATCATACATAAAGTCGTACAAAAATCAGAAAATTTTATTTGAGTGATAAAATTATAGAAAATAATGTTAATATGTAGGATAAAGGTATTCAAAATAAGTTTATTTTTGTTATAAATCTTACCTCTGTTAATGCTCCTAATCCTTCTGGCCAGATACCCTTTGGATTTGGATCATTTGGATACATGTATATAGGAGAACGATCACCATGACGATAGAGCTGAGCAAAATATGGGGGAAATGAAACATATTTAAACATTAAATCAAATATTTAAGTAATCATTATCATTTCACATATGATGATATACACTGAACCAGTAAAACATTTCAATTAGTATAAAGCCAGTGGGGAAAGTAGCGTACTCCAAGTAGTAAAATTGCTGTAGTCGTTACTTTTTTCGTAGTTTGTACTGTAGTTCGGTGCTCTTTTTCTAGAAAAAATGTAGTGTGGTGAGATACGAAAAAAACAGTAGTTCGTAGTGATTCCAGATAACTTTGGCACTTGGCTCCGCCTTCATCACGTGGTAACCGACGATACTATGTCGCTATTTTTGGGAGAAAGATGTGAATAATCTAGAACAAGGCTGCTGTTTGGCATTCGAATGACAAACATATTTATTTCACAATCTTTATGCGCATTTTTTTAACACTGAATATTTCATAAATTTGATGATATTTCTCTCTTTTGAGTGAATAGCTTGTCCTTTTTTAACCATTTTGCAGCAGTATATTTAATTAGCTAGAGCAGTGATTCTCAACCACTGTGCCGCGGCACTTTTGGGTGCGCCAAATTCTTAAAATGTGCCGCCAAGTATTAGAAATGATACAATAAAAAATATANATATATGTATATATACTTTTTATAATTTTTCCACGCTTTAACCGCGTGAACATCTTTGTCGGCGATTGTCTTTTCTCTGACAATCTTAATAAAATAAGAAGGAAGTGTTTAAATTGTCTTTGACACTCAATTTTAAAAATTGTTGAAATAAGTAAGAAATTTAATGACTATTAAAATTATTAATTAATAAAGGAAAGCAAGCTAAATATTAACTTTAAAACAGAAATAAAAGCTAATAATTAAAGTAAGCTATGCAATTAATAGTTATAAAAACAAATTAACAAAGGATAACTAACAAAAAAATAAGCTAACAATTAATAATTAGCAAAAAAACTAGTTAACAAGAAATCACACAAAAAAATAATAATGTAAAAAAACAACAGTTAATAACTAAAGAAAACAAGCTAACAATCAAAATCTAGCAAAAAAATAAATAAGTCTTACTAACTGATAAAAAATTAGTCGGAAGAAATAATTAATCCCTTAATAAACGTGCTGTTATAGTACATATTATTTTATTTCACATTCAAAATTATGATCACAAACTATTTAATTATTATAGGTAAGTACACAACCTTTAAACTAATTTTTTTCATTGCGTGCCGTCAAAGTTCGAAATCGTTAAAAATGTTTCGCCGCAAAAAAAAGGTTGAGAATCACTGAGCTAGAGTAGCGAAAGGTATAATAGTAGATGATAAAGCCAAGTAAGTGACTGAAAAAGAATTCACTGTTTACTTTTGGAGCGCATTTAGGGTTGTCTCAATTTCAAGCGCGGACACTTTTCTCCTCTTACTACAGCGCCGAAATGAACTCTTCGTCCGAGGAGGTGGAGGCAAGTACCAGCTCTTATTGAACGAACTATACGTTTAGTGAAGAAACATGATTCTAACGCAACTCATTTTTCGAATTTAACGGGTACATATCCTCGAGAGTCCGTAATAAGTGCAATGAAAATACAAATTTATTATCACGTATAACTAACATTTAAACTATCCATGACGGAGAATAATCAATTACTTTGACCACCCTTTCAAACGCGAATGCACACTCGTTAAACATTGATGTTATTTAAAAGAAAGGAAAGTATTTTGGGTGTACTTAATTTCTTATCGGAAATAAAAGAGCATTAAACAGTTAAAAAATTTTCAAATATTTGATCATTTTGCATTTCTCAAATTAAATATTGAAGAAATGCATGAAGAAATTAGAAAGTTGAAGGTTAAATGAACGAATTCGAAAAAAAAAAATTGTTTTCGAATAACAAACTGGGTCATGTAAACATAAATATAAATATTCTTATTCAAATATTCTTAATTCAAAACATTCAAATATTCTTATTCAAAACATTTTTGAATGCATGCGTAAATTAAATTCTTCTGCAAAGATCGACTCTTTAAAGGAGTGAAGTAGTAGTTACTAAATTCAAAAGTAGCTTGCAGTCACTGCATTTAAAAACAAGAAGTTGTAGTTGACTACATTAGTAGCAAAGTAGTTGCAGTACAAAAATAATGCAGTTCTTCCACCCATTATATATAGCAGAGTTTTAATTATGTATTTAGTTATTGCATATTTACAGGAGCACAATAATACTGTCATAACGCAGTGCTTAAAAAATAAATAAAATAAACGCCACACCCTGAATAACTTTTTATCTAATGATCGGATGTTCAAATACACTAGATTCAGTCTTATTGGTCCAAGGGGGCGATTTAAAGTTAGTTATTTAATTAGAGTAGACGATACTTTCTGCCAGCAGATCAGACACAAAACTGTATTTTCTCTGAATAAAAATACTTTCATTTGCGGACTCTGATTTCTAACCCCCGAAATATGGGGGTTAGTCGCAAGCTGGGAAATATGGTCAGAATGTCGGTCAGGAGAGCGGTCATAAGTTTTGTCCCATTAATGTTAATTTTACTTTTTGACACCATATCTCCGAGAACTTTTCAAGCAAATCGAAATATTTTTGTATATAATAATAGAATTCGTTTATCCAATAATAATTCCCTGCAAAAATAATTTTTAACAGTAATTTATTATTATTCGAAAAATATATGAGTAGGTCGTATAGTTTCTAAGAAATTAGATTTTATATATAAGCCTTAAAAAAAATGTATTTCATTTCTCAGGAAATTTTCGACTAATTTCGTACAAAAAATTATTTGTGTACTTTAGAATTCAAAAAGTTTACGACTATTTTTAAATAAAATAATAAAAAATACTGAAGAATTATTAAAAATTATTTTAGGCATGAAATTATATTTGAATGAAAAAATTTTATAATTGTGAGCAAAAATTCCCTTAACATTTTTCGAGATATTACGAAATACGCAAAACTCATCAAATACTGTAACTAATAAATAATATTCTGAGTGTTCCGTAATCACTGCGCTTAATTTACAGTTTAGAATACTACTCAAAAGTGAATATTACTTGTTTCCGACAGAGATTAAGCAAACTTGAGAAGCTTTTGTGGTCTTCCTTTTTACATTATTGATTACTTACACTCGAGAAGAAGAAGATCACTGATACACAGACACCTTTACCTATGACCACAGCTCCAGCTGGTTGTTTATAAGCAATATATCATGTTAAAATTCCAGATATTGCTGATTAAGATTGTGCTATGTTTGTCCACATAAGTCAGAGTACTGATTAACTTGCAGTTATTTAAATACTACGCTCTATAACGTATCGAATTTGTTAAAATATAATACTTTCTTATCTATGTCTTTTATTTAACACAGATGTATTATTTGTTAAGGAATTTTATGGTAACTGTGATTATTACTGTTTTTATTAGGCAAATTCTTTGCATAATTCATTTGTTTATATTCTACGTGACTTCGTGCTTGTCTTAATACTAAACAAGAGATAAACCAAATCTTTTTTCTGAAAGAATATAGACTGTGTCACTTAAATGAATTCATATTTGATGAATAGGGTAACTCTAAATAGAATGAAAAAAAAACAGCTGCTAACTTAAACAAATGCCTCGTTTGAACAGCCAATCAGGATCGATACATACGCTATCGTCATTTGCAGGTATCCAAGTAACTTAAAGTCTAGTGAAATTCCCTTGCTTCAAAAACGAGTTTGTTTCTTAGTCGAAAGTTGATTTCAAAGTTACAACTGATGAATGTTATTACGTCATCGGTATAAATTTAATGAAATATATAAAATTGAATAACCTTATTTTTTGTTGTGAAGTTTCAATTTTATAGCGAGAAAGATTGATGATTGCGAAGCAGTCTTACGGGTCAAGGGACGAAACGAACAGGGGATGAAGGCTCCTATAGTAGGCTTAAAATCACTGGTGCTTTGACGTCAGATTCAATAATAAATATTTAAATTATTTATACCTTATGGTAACAATATTGTTTATGCAAAATAAATTCCATTGCATGTTTGCCATCAAATGTGCACAAAAGCATGTTTGCCATCAAATTTTTCTCCTTTTTCTTCTTCTTCTTCTGCATGGGTTTCCAACTTTCATGAGGCCGTGGGCCACAATTAAAAACACAAATCAAATGGCGAGCCACAACTTTATCAAAATTTTATGTAGGACTCCTTTATGTTTGAAGGAACATTAAATATAACTGTCAGATTTTTACCAAGTTGTACAAAACAAAAGAATTGAATTACAAATTAAAATAAGAAGTAGATTTTAAAAAATATTTAATTGCTATTAATAATATTTCTAAAAATCTTAAATAAATAATAAAAATTCGGGCTACATTAACTTAAATGTGCACCTATGTATTAAACAATTAATGTGCAACAGATATCAAATTGTTAAGATATAAAACTTTAAAAAGGTTGATATTAAGACTTACATAGTAGCACACAAAATATTCAATGAGAAAATTGAGGTTTGTCTGCTGCAACTACCAGAGAATAGATATTTACATTTAAAATTTACAAATGTGTGTGTAAATATTTTCGTCCAAAATGAGTGGTTTTAAATTGTTTATTAGTTATAATATAAATAAACAATTAAAAAATCTTATTTATACTTGTTTATTTATATTAGAACTGGTGCTGTTGTCGGTGGATTCTGTTGTCTTTCTTGATGCTATTTTTTTTTTTTTTTT